AAGACCGCCGAGGAAGCACAAGCAGGTAGGTCGGGCTCCCAGGAGCCCGAGGAAAGCACCCAGGGCGAAATAACCCTGGAGGAAAATGTCGGGGAGCGACCACATTGCCGCAAGGCAATGAGGCCAATCCCCTCACTGAATTAACCTCTCTGTCTATTGCAGAGAGAGAGAGCTCACGACTGAGGAGCTGGCCGAAATGGCTTTGCTGCTCGGGGAAGAGGAAGACGAGCCCCCATCGCCCGTCTTCGAGCCTCTGGAGAGGATGGAAGTACACCCCATGGAGGTGGAGGTGTCTACTACGGCACCTTCTCCCCCGGTGGATGAGACTCGGGCGGAAAATCCCGAGGGCAGTGCAGCTCCAAAGGCAACGCCGGAGGAGGAGCTGGTGAGGAGTTTGGTGGCGACGTTGTCGGCCAACCCTGGGTTGCTGGCGGCTGTGTTTGCACAGCTGCCACCTGTCAACCTGGGGCCCTCGACGTCAGCGATGCCGCCACCAGCACCAGTAGTAAGGCCGGAGGAAACGGCCGGACCCTGGGAAAGGAAGACGGGGCGAAAAACCCTCGTCAAACCTCCCCCCAGGAGATCAGAGACCCCCCTCCCGAAACCCGAAGCCGAGGAGCAGAGCTCCAAAGCTAAGGGCCGAGGGATAAAGGTAGCGGCGAAAGAGGTGGGGCCGCAAGGCTACACTGGGCAGGGCACCGGGGCAGGGACGAAGCGCACCTACGCCGAAGTCCTGCACGGGAAGAGGACGGAGAGCTCAGGGCCGAAAGGCTCTGAGAGGAAAATCCCCCCAGCCGCAGCGCTGGAGCCTGAGGCCAAAGAGGTGACCTCCGAGGCCAAGGGCAAACTCCCTTCAACAGGGAGGAGGAAGGGGAAGAGGTCAGGGGCGCAAAACCTGAAGGAAAGGACCCCGAAGCGGAGGCACGGAGCATTCACCTCCAAATACTCCAGCACGGGGGGGAAGGACCCACAGAGGCGGTTGGGGCGAAAATCCCCAAGCGTAAGGCCTGTGAAGACGAGAGGATGGATACAACATCCCCTCTCGTCGACGAGGAAACCCCCAGGCAGGAGGAGAAGAGGAGGAAACTCGCGCAATCCCTCATCCCAGCACGCCTGTGCTGGAACTGCCGGAAAACGGGACATAAGGGCAGAGATTGCCCGGAGGCACGAAGGCCCCACTGCCGAAGGTGCGGCATCCCGTGCAGCGAGGAATTTTGTGCNAAAATCCCCAAGCGTAAGGCCTGTGAAGACGAGAGGATGGATACAACATCCCCTCTCGTCGACGACGAAACCCCCAGGCAGGAGGAGAAGAGGAGGAAACTCCCGCAATCCCTCATTCCAGCACGCCTGTGCTGGAACTGCCGGAAAACGGGACATAAGGGCAGAGATTGCCCGGAGGCACGAAGGCCCCACTGCCGAAGGTGCGGCATCCCGTGCAGCGAGGAATTTTGTGCCTCCTGCACCAGAAAATGGGAAGCCATGGGCCCATGGGTGCCTGAATTCGGGCAGAAGGTTAGTAAAATTCCCCAAAGGGCCTCCAGAGTAGCCGCCGACCCAAAGAAGGGGGCGCCACATACTCGGAGAAAGAACAAGAGTAGGGAGGACCCCCCACTCTGTACTGCAGAGTATAAAAGGAGCTGCAGAGCTCCCAGAAAACTCTTTTCTGTCGTAAAGGCAGAGGTTAAATAAGCCTCCTGACTTTACGGAAGACTCCCTGGGCTAGAAATGGCGTCAAAGAAGGATTTGCTGAATAAGCAAACGGAAGGGGGAGACGAGGAGAAAACTCCTGAGACCTCGGTAGGACCGAAAGGTTCAGAAATGGATCCCGAAAGGGGAGCCAAAAAGAAGACGCAGAGGAAACGCACTCGAGAAGTGACGACCTCGGAAAGTAGTGGTGGAGAATCCGAGGCTGAAAAAGTCTCGAGATCTAAACCAGAGAAAAAGGGGCCGCTCTCAGAGGAGGAGAGGGCTGAAAGGCCAATCAGTCCATTGGTGACGGATTGGAGCCTTCCCTTGCCGAAGGACAGGCCAGGCCAAGGGGCCGAAAGGTTCCCAGACGACCTAGCCTCACGAATGGCAATGCTGACAATCTTCGCTGAGGAAGCGAAGAGGCTAGAAGAGCAGATCATCTCCAGGACTGATCGAAGCGGAAGCCCCTCCCCGCAGGGGGCGAGGGAGACCGAAAGGCAGCACAGAGGCTATGAGAAGCCATCTCTGAGGACACTCGAGATGGAACGGCACAACGAGCCCATAGAGAGTGTAGAAGTCATCTATGACAAGCTCGAATTGGAGGAAACTGAAGCAGCACACGCCTTGCAAAGTCGTGATGCTCCTTCAGGGAGGGGTGGACGTGCTGGTTTGACCAGACACTTGTTAATGTGTCGAAATTGCGACCGAGTAGGCCACACGTTCCGGTTTTGTACCGCCGAACGAACCGTATTTTGTTACGGATGCGGTGCCAAAGGCGTGCACTTGCCAGAGTGTCCAAAATGCCGTCCAAAAATCGGGAAACCAGTAGCGTAAATGACGAAAATTCGTCTGCGCCGCCGAAAATCTCTGAGAATTTGGAAAGAAACCCAGTGGAAGAGGCCGAAAATTCCTCAGAAACTGTAGGAAGGGAGATCTCAGGGCAGAACCATAGCCCAGAGGTCGGAAAAACTACTGTACAAAGGGTAGAAATACCCGCGGCAGTGGCGGAGGAGTCTCAAGAGAAGGGGAGAGTGGAAAGACTCTCTCTAGAATCCCTGACGGACCCCATTGCATTGTCATCGCCAGAGATAAGCTCTAATCTGGAGTTTATCAATCAGGCGATGAAACAAGTAAAGGTGAATTCGAGGTCGGCGAACTGGTCCTAGTTCGCGGCCACGAGCTGTCGAGTGCTGCAAATCATCGTTCAGCGTCCTTGAATAAACCGTTCAATGGACCTTTCGTGGTGACCGAGAAACACTCCAGAAACTTTTACCAAGTTTCTGATATGGCGGGTCGTAATACCAAAAACTGTGCTATAGTGGACATGAAGCCCTATAGGGAAGCTTTGGAGGACCCCCCCCGACTGAAAAGTCGAAAGGAGAGGAATAGTGGCTCCTGGAGAGTTTTTGCTTGAAACGTCTAGGTTTCGGGTCGAAACCTCTCTTAAAGAGGGAGGTATGTAACGAGATTTTCTCGTTACGGGTTGAAATCCCCTCAAAATGATAAGTGAACTCTCAAAATTGTTGAAGAGAGATAAGTAGCGACACCTAGAAGCGGCTGAAGAAAGCCGGGACTAGGTGAGATAAACCACAAACCAATGAAAGACCTAAGGCATAGTGGTTATGAGTGAAACCGCGACCCCTGGAGGTCTGGAGGGCGTACTAGACTATCGCCGTATTAGAATTCGCCCAGCATGTGCTAGGGGAAATGGTGCCGACGTACAGGCCGTCCAACTGAGCGATTCTATAGGCTATGTCGGAGTAGGCTAGGGACCAACGGCCAGGTGAAAGGACTGGTACCTCCGTGATCCTGTCGGGTTGATTGGTGGGGATAGGGTAACGGAATGACCTATCGTCGCCGAGATATCCAGACTAGGAGGCAAGGCCCTAGTAAGATTCCGAGTTGGTCGCACGCGAGCGCTTGAACCGAGAGGTTGAAATAATCTCTCGGTGTGCTGGAAGTGGTGGATGGCTGGAGAAGCCATGGTAAGGAGTTTACTCAGCGTAGCCTGGTGCATAACTGTGGCGGCGAATATAGGGGGATGCCCCTGCATCCCCCGCGCGTAAATCTGAGTTATTTCGGAATGCGAGGTGAAGACTTCGTCGTGTTCGGCGTCCTCTAGTCTCGGCGGAACGATTCGAGGCGTATGGGCCCGTGGGCTTGGAGTCGAGAAATCCTCCTGTCGGTCCGACCATACGCCGACGGTCTAGTACTACCCGGAGGCAGTGACGCGCGATGACCGGAGCGGTAACTATTGGTGGAGAGAGTGGGTGGTCGTAGCGTGGGTAACGTAGTTCCACCCTGGTCAGATCAGCCTCTCCACGTCCCAGGCTCTGAGGAGTCCCGGCTGAATCGCAGGTAGCTCAGAAACTCTCCTGAGTAGAAATACTCGGAAGGAGAGGAAGCATGCCGGAGGAGTCGAGAGACCCTCCGGAGGAAAGATGAATCCCATTCAGTAGGGAACTTGTGCCGCGAGGCATAATTCACGGCTTGCAAAGGCCGTGGAATGTGACGGTAATACTCCTGGTGGACCTCGCCCACTCTACCGTATCACGCTGATGTTAGCTGGGCAACCCATTGTCCAGCCAAAAAGTCCTCTGAGTGGACGAGTTTGCCTCAGAGGCCGGTTTTCGTCGAACCTCCCGTGAAGGTTCGGCTGGCGCCCGACTATTGAGCGATAGAGATGGCTAAAAAGTAGTTTGGATTTTTCCTGGGTGAACAACCCGGGAAAATATCCTTACAGTTTCTGTGTTTTCTGATATGAATACATTTTCATTTATTTTCATTGAAGTTATACATGATTTTTGGAGACTTCATAAAATTCTTTCTCTTCGAGTGAACTCTGGAATTCCAGAGATTTGATATAATTTCGGGAACCCTTTCCTTGTTGTGGCGGTTTGACCCTGCCTCGGCATTGCAAGTCAACTTATCTAATTAATAAATTGGATTTTCGGGCTGCGCTCGTCCCGGTAATTATTTATATTATTTTGAGTAAGTAAATATTAGCTTCATTAACTGGCCATGCCAAGGTGATAAATACTATTACGCCCTCCCTACGTTATATCTTGTCTCTGTCGTTCTTTCATTCGCTTTTCTGAGGCTAAATTACAAAATTCGCCATTATTGTATTCGCTTTTGCAATTGATTACGCTTCAGGTCTTAGATGCCTGAGTAAAATTTGTGACGGCGCTAACCAACGTGAACCTCAAAACTTAGAATATAAACCGTAGACTTATCCATAACTCGATGCGAAACTCAAAACAGCCGGAATGTTGTCACCTTCGGCTCTGCTCCTCGATGTCCCGATGAAAATCCTCGAAAACCGAATCAACGGAAAAACGAGGAAATGTTGTGGGGCGCCAGCTGACTTTTGTTCCAGCGGTGTCAACGAACCGCATTAAAGAGAACCATATGAAAAACTTAGCCATAATCGGGGAAACCAAGGGAGAGGTTGCGGAGTTAGCTCGACTAGCTCGGAGGTATTCGGAGAGCGGGGTACTATCGGTCGCTCGGTCTTAGGAAGGATGTCGCGAATTCAACAAAATGCACCGAAAAATCAAAAGGAAGAATCAGAAAATTAATCAAATGGGACATGAGAGAATCACTTTAAAGTTACTCCGGGATTTATTCAATTTCTCGATAATTCTTCAACTCAGGTGGAATTTACATTCTTCACAAATAAAATACATTAATATCGATTAACTTCAACCAAATTAAATTTAATTAAATTCCCGAGAGTGAGAGTAAGTGAATTGACCTTGAGAGAGAGGTTATCGCGAAGGGAAATGTGTAATGGACCCGAGCGGTTGGGTTCAATTAGGGATGAATTACACGCGGGTAGTTAATAGAAAAAATTACTTTATTGGGAATTGGTTTTTTAATCATTAATTTAAAAGTTATTGAATAAATGAAACTCGGTTTGATACTGAATGTATCAAGCGAGTATAAAGTATAAAGAAGGTAATCAAAGAATTGACAAGTAACTGGCCCCGAGACAACGATTACACGAGTTTTTATCACCTCATGCAATACGATTGCATCAGGTCATTGTTCTTCGTCGCACACCCGCAAGGCATCGGGTGACGTCTTCCCGGTGTACGCGAAGGCCAGTCGTCGGGGCGCAAAGTGCTGACGCTGCACCCCAGTTATCTGTATTCGACGTTAACTCGTGAAGTTTTATTCACGAGTTTTTAATGTTATTTTATATTTCTTCATTCCACTGTTTGTTTCGAATAACTTGTGCCACTTTCGTCACTTCATGTTATTCTAATAAGCAGTTGAATTTTGAGAAGTTATTTGGGGCATAACATCCCTCCCCGCCAGGGAAGAAAATTACTACCCTCAGGAATTTTCTCTATTAACCCTAACTCACCGATATAAACCTTAATTAATAAGGTTTTTTACATTAATAATCAATATTACAAATTAAATACAATACATAAATTCTTATGCTACTTCGAAGCTAGGCGTTTCTCTTTTGGGTGCTGGCCAAGGTTTTCGACACCAGCAGTAAAGGGTTAGCCCCGAGATGAATGATAGAATCACCATTACCCCGGTGAATATCGATGATGGGTGTGTAAGAAAGTCTCGATAATCGAACTTCTCTTCTATCCGGTTCAGATCTTCTTTCTCAGCTGCCAGTTGCACGTGGAGCCCTTCCAGCTCTTTCACGTTTCCAACGACATTGTTCAGCTGGATGTCACTCAGATTGAACCTTCGTTGCTCGAGCTGAGTGGTGGTGACGTCATCTAACGTCAAGTTCAATTTTGGGTGAACATGAGCGTTGTATGTTACCTCATGTGACTTCCGCCCTCTTATGGTGAAGTCGGAAGCGACTATCTCGCAGGTGATCTCTAC